ATTCCATTGTGTTGGAAGGTTATTCCACTAACGATTCATGGGAAGAGACATTATTTGCTCCAGTCTCTGACTTCAGCAGTTCTGGTGGTTGAGTGAAGAAAGGAGTAGAATGTCTGCAGCAGAGGTTCCCCATCCAGGCTGCACCTTAGAGTCCCCTGGGAGTTCCTTAAATGGACAGATTCACACACTAACCCCCAGCAGTGATTCTGATGGTGTAGATTCGGGGTGGGGCCTGGCCTGGATGATTGTGTTTAAAGGGTCCTGTAGGTGCTTCTGAGTGGAGGGGCAGGTGTCTGGGCTGAGCCTAATGGGTTTGTCATTGTGTGGATAATTTTTTAAGCCATGGGAGGGGGCCACTAATCAGTACTTGGGGAAGATAATTTCAGAACTTGGTCATTTTCCCATTCATATCTAGAATGTAGTACGGCTCTAATCTTTATGGCTTTGTGTTAAATTTGCCTTTTTTCCTTTGTTTGGAAGGTAAGGGCATATGTAGGATTTCCTTGGTGACTGTTCATCGACAGTCTCTTCAGAGTGTGAGTTCTGGAGGCTACAGGGCTCCCAGTTCAGTCCAGTCTCTTAGGAGTTGAATGAGGTGCTGCTCACTTATACATTTCCTGGGAGCCAGCCTGAACTTAAGCCATTTTTTTCCCCAAATGTTACAGACCTCTCTTACTCCCATTTCTTGAGTTCTAAATCAACTATTGACGTTTAAAGTATAATTTCTGCTGGGAAGGCAAGCAGCTCTACCAAGGGAGAAGGAATTTCTCAACATTAAAGAAATTAGAAATTATAATTTATGCTTAAAAAAATAATGTTAGTTCAAGTTTTAGCTCTCTTCTCTCTTCCTTCTCCGCTGTTCTTTATCCTGCCGTGTGTTTGCAAACCATTCTCATGACCTTCTGCTTGTGTGGCATATTTGTAGTGGGGCCAGATTATACATACACCACTGACTTTTTCATCTGACCTCCAAATTCAGCCTTTGAGCCCCTTTGTTTCTTTGAATTTTGCTAACAGAGTCTTGTTGAAAGGAATATTATTTCTCATGGAACTTTACATGGTTTGTGGAATAATAGGATCATGCTTTTTGAAGTTCAAACCTAAGGTCCAAAAATTTTAAACCTATCTAGTTTGCCGTTGCTTACTTTACTTAGCTCAACCTCGGCATTTCAGGTCTAGAGGTGGTTAGTACCCATTGGACATCCTAGCCCCTCCCTGAAAATTAAAAGGAGCACAAAAATGAAAGTGAATTCGCTTTTCTTCACCTCTCTGTTAATTTAACGGATTCAATTGGCTTGCCCTCATTTGCCCTTTTACACCGCCCAAATTGATGCTATGTGTACATTTGATTATAACAGTGTGAGTAATCTCCAAGTTACTTTTGAACACTGTTCCTTGTGGTTCTTTCCTTCATCATATTAGTAGATATATCCAGTGTTTTTCTTTCTAGCCTGCTTAACTCCTATGTGGTTCTTGTTGCCACATAAGTTTCAGTTGATTTAGTGATCCTGATTTGATGGGACACTGTATCAAATGCTTCAGGAAGATCAAAGTACACGGAGTTCGTTGCATTCCCTTCCCTTGCTAACTCCGTTGTGCTGTAGCCAGGCGATCCTGGAGCCTTGCAATCCAGGATTCCACTCAAGGCGAGGAAGCAGCTCTTCTTCCTGGCTTTTCCATTCCACAAATATCTTTTCCTTTCTTTCCCATATTCCTTTTTTTTTTTTCAGCAACATGTAGCAGGCTGTATATCCCTTACCACTTACAACCATTTTTGCTGCAAAAAGGAAAAACTCTAAGCCTTTCAGCTGCCATATCCATTGTGCCATCCCCATGGGACTATTCCACCATGACCTTTCATGCTGGAAGAAGCAAGCCCAATCCAGTTGTGCCTTATTGGTAGTAAAATGTGTTGGTTAAAAGTAGACTCCATGACCAGCCAGGCTGCCCAGGTTCTGGTATTTGCTAATAGTGTTACTTTGGACAAGTTAGTATCTCTGCATCTGTTTCCTGATCTGTGATACAGAGGTAGTGCTAATTTCTACCTCAGAGGGTTGTTGTCAGGAATAATTGAGTCAAGACATGTCAAGTGGTTAGAATTTGGTTTAGTTTAAACATTGATGAATAATCTTGCAAAAGTTTATAATGTTTCTGGATTTTCTAGGCATTTTGTTACTCTTTTATGCTGTTTGCCTTAGCCATTCTGTTACAGGCAAAGGAAAGGAAATGAAAATCAACTATCCGATTTTGTCACCTTAAATTTTTCACAAATTGCTTTTTTTCTTCAAGATTCCATTATAATAGATCACTGAGAATTGATATATTCGATAGACAGTGACGTGTGTGACGTATTCCCTATCAACTCGTGTATTTTTCTACCATCAGATGTGTATATATTTTTAAAATCCTTTTTAAGAACATTATTTTCTTGGTAGTGAACATATATTTATTTGACTTGTTGGGGCCAACCCTTTTAACTTGTTGGATTTTTTAATAGATTATTTTTTAAACGGGTGCCCAAAGAGAATTAAATTTTTTTGAAGATTTTATTTTTAAGTAATCTCTATACCCAGCATGGGGTTCAAACTTACAACCCCAAGATCAAGATTCGCATGCTCTTCTGACTAGCCAGCCAGGCGCCCCTAAGTATTTTTTTTTTAATAAGGAAGCAAAAATACCCACTACAGAAGATAAATAGACAAAACATGCTTTCCAAAGAAAAATGTCCTATAGGACAGTGTTTAGTCTACACAATACACAGCACGATCAACAGTCAGTAAATAATCCAAGGCTGTCCATTGCTAACAGTTTGTGCCAGGAACATTTTGAATACTCTTAACTTGCGTACAGGTATTTGCATTTAATCAAACTTTTGTGGTTTCTTGCTCTTCTTTCATATTTATGCTCTTTAAATCACTGCACATCAGCCACTGTGGCCCACTTTACTTATATATTTGCATACTAACTGAAGAATGAGAGGGGAAACTTGGAAAAAATACATTGAGATTTTTCATCATCACAGTTTGACTAGTGGATCTTATTTATTATTTTATAAAATAATGTTCAGGGGTGACTGGGTGGCTCAGTTGTTAAGCGTCTGCCTTCGGCTCAGGTCATGATCCCGGGGTCCTGGGATCGAGTCCCGTGTTGGGCTCCCTGCTAGGCGGGGAGCCTGCTTCTCCCTCTCCCACTCCCCCTGCTTGTGTTCCCTCTCTCGCTGTGTCTCTCTCTGTCAAATAAATAAAATCTTTAAAAAAATAAAATAAAATAAAATAATGTTCAGCTGCAGCCCCAGAGCATAATTAACCTCATTTGTATGGACTTCCATTGCTAGGGTTTAAAAATCAGTGGGCCTGTTGGAAAATACATGTTTATACTTTACACTTTACAGAAATTTGGCAAGGTGATGAAGTAACATGATGCAGCTGAGAGAACATTACAAGTTGTGTTTGAAAAGTAAGAGTCTTCTGAGTAAAAGTTGTATAGCACAGAATAATAAATCCACAGCCAAGATGCACCCACTCGTTTCTCTTCAGTTAAAAGGAGGAAGAACAGACCCAGGGTGAGTTTTAGCTCCATTACCTGCTGCTTTGAGAAAATGACTTAACATCTGTGAACTCCACTGCTTCTTCTCACAGTGTTAATGACTCTTCCCCAAAAAAGCAGATCTGCAAATTCAGGGGGGCAGGGCATGTGAGGGTCCCAGGTAAAGTTACTAATTCCGTGCAGCATGGGTGAATTTGTACGTGTGATTGGAAGCTGGGGAAACCGAGGCACTGAGTCGCGAGGTATAGCAGCCGAGGCCTGTAATCACCCTGGCCCTATCTTTCTGCTTTGTAGCGGGGTCTTCTAAGTCATGCTGTGGGGTGCTCTAAGCAGTGCTTTCCTTCTCAGCTTGTTCAGAGCCAGGAAACTCTGTGCCCAGAAGGGACCGTAAACTGTCTTGCAGGCAGAGTTTTAAAAAAATGATTTGCACCCATCTACTGCATTTTTACCATGGGAAATGACACTCTGGCTCCTCAAAAATGGCTAATAACCCTCTGTGGGTAAATGCCAATCAAGCCAGCCAGTTGGCTCTGAGAACATCTTCCTTGAAAGCCATGGCCCAGGTTTGCAGAGGCTGGGAGGTGAGTGTGAGTGCCAGAGACCTCCTTCTCAGAAAAGCCTATTGCATTGCCACCCTGGAAGTGCACACAGACAGGGACACTGATGTGAAGGCTGCTAGTACGGAGAGGCACTCTTGTCAATTTTCTTTCTTGTTTGCAAAATCCATCTGTAATAATAACTAGGAATCCTCATACATTGAAATCTGTGGCAAACATTTTTAACCACCAAGGTAAGGTCTTCGTCTTTCTTTTTAAGATGAAGAAGGATAAGCAGTATCATTTAAGATACGAGTTTATCATCTCCTCCTCCACACTTGTTAGTCCTCAGAGAAGCTTTCGCTTGTCACTTAATTTGGAACCTCCAAAATGGCTTTCGCAATGTTGCCGTCTTAATCCATGGGCTGTTGTACTTAGGGAGTGGAGACTTTCAAAATGAACTTCCAGTATTCTTCCAAAATCAGTTTTATCTCTTGTGGCATGATTTGTACCTACTGGGGAGCATATTTTTTCTCTTCCTATGAGGTTGTGATTTAATTTTTTTTTTCTACTCAAAAGGTGTAAGGTAGAAGCACTTCTCTATGAAACACAGAACGTGCGGGAGAATAGCTGAACAATGGGAAAGAAAGATACTTAGACCTTGTGGCTGTTAGGAAACAGGTCTGGGACTGATGCAGTCATAGGAGTGTTGTATTACCCAAACTGTACACTGTGGGATCCATGCAGGTTAATTTCAGCATGTTTCCTTTGATTTTTCTGAAGAATTTCCTTTCTCTTCAGAGGTTTTCCTTCTAGGCTCTTGGAGTCATAATGAATAACAAAAATGGAGGCAGGGATACCAAAATGTATTTTAAAATAGAATTGTATCCTCAAAAACATGGTAATTATTGACAGGGTTTTTTTTTAGATGAGAGAGAAGTGAGAGAAGTTTTGAGCTACGTGCTTCCCTCCCACCATGTACTTTGTGGGGTAAAAATGGTAGTGCTTTGGGAAAAAGCATTAAGTCTGGGAAAAGAGGTGAAGAGTTGCTAAGTCCAGGGAAGCAATGGACTGTGAGAAAGTAAAAGGTGGCAGCCAAAGCAGAGCTGGACCCTAAAAGGATGCTGAGACCCCTCAGGAATAAGCCCCCTCAGTAATAAGGCCTCATTAGACTGTATCTCTGCCCCTCCCCCCACCCTTGCCCCCTCCCCGCCGCCACCACCCTGCTGCTACACTTGGACTGCCCTTGGCAGATCACCTGCACAGTCTACAACTCCAGAATGTGCTCCTTAGTGAGGGAGTGGGCAAGGGCAAGTGAGATGCAGTTCATCTGGACACAGGGTAAAAGCACTCACCTCCTCCCTCAGTCTCCGCAAGTGTCAGGGGTCTCGCCATTGCCAAGGTTCTTAATCACCTTTTTACATGTGCTCTGTTTCTTGGCTTGTCTGGAGGCTGATAGCATGCTACTGACAGGTGAGTGTGAGCTAAGTGCTGAAGCAGAAGGAAATAGAAAACAGAATTTCAACAGTTTCATGAAAAGTTGAGGCCATCTGTGTGTTGTGTTGTTTGCCCTCTTAAAAAATCCCCGTTAGAGAAAAAGAATTCAGGGAACAAATATTAGTCAGCCGATTAGGTTCTGAACTTGCTCAGACTTTGTACCTTGGCATAAGAGAGGCTGTCCTAGAACCTTTTGAACTTTTGCCACTGAGTAATTCTGAAAAGGCTGGAAGAGCCAGTAGTAGGTAGTAGGAAAGAGCACAGTGTCCTCTGCTTGGGTAATCAAGGTACATATTACTGAGGTGGGTAAGGACTCTGGCTAGTTCAACGGGGTTACAGCTTGTAAACTGCAGGATCATTTGGAGATGAAGAAATGGATTACAGATGGTCGCTGGGCTTGATTTTTATCCCAGGATTCACTATTGTTTTGAGAATTAGCAGAGTGTAGAGGAAATGGCCCAGATTTTATACTTAGGAAAGACCTGTTATTCAACTCTCCATTTGACCATTTTCTAGCTGAGACATCAGGACGGTTACTTAACTTCTCTGACCGTGTTTCCTCAGTTGGGAATATGAGAATAGGACATTTGTAGATCTGTTGGGAAATGTTAAAACTAAGAGCAGATTAGAATGAGATGCTGTCTAGCACAGAGTAGGAGCTTACCACCAATTTCTGCTTTCGTCAAAATTTGGCTCTTTATGTAGAATAATTATCCTACTCTCCATGCTAGTTTTGAAAGATGAATAACTTTTATTTAAGCCATCAGCTTGATGATAAAAGGAGCTGTTTATCCGAGACAGTCCTGTAAATGCCTTGTGACCCCAGAGATTTGTGTGGAAGGGCAGGCAGGGTACAGATGAAGCCGTCCACACCTGGAAGCCCAGAAACCCGGCACACATATGAACTCCTAGAGCTGGCACGCTCTGCATATGGCAGATTCTTAAACCATCTGTTTACTGTTTTTTAAACACTATCCTGATGAGGTTCACCTAAGACAGAGGGTAAAGCAGTGAACCCAAACTCAGAATTTTGGAACTGCTCTGTGATTTCATAAGCACAAAGAAATACTTGTTTTCTGAAACAATATACTATACCATTGTCTTCTGTGTGGAATTGGTATATGGAATGTTAGGGGACTGTGAGGATGAGGTTGTCCGCATAGAGACCCTAGGACCCTGGAACTCCCCTCCACCACACCCCCCAGTTTGTGGCAGCTGTGTGCACGCTTTCTTTTGAGTCAGCCACGCGCAAGGCAAGTCATTTCCCATCCTGAGGCTCTTTCAGTTGCTGAGTTGGAGTGGATGTACTGGGATGTGGCTATTCGCTTAAAATTTTTGCATAAATCCAGCCTCCACTCCCTTGGAAAGGCTTGGTCCTGTCTTTACACCTTCCCCAGGGCGATTTTGTTGCAGGGGCGGGGGTGGGGAGGAGAGGAAAGGAGGAAAACAGAGGCCGACTACACGCGGCGCTGCGCTCTGCGCTCGGGAGGAAGCGTGCAGTCCATTGACTCGGTACGAGTGGGGAGGGGAGAACCCGGGCAGGGGCTGGAAACGGAAGGGCTTACGAGCGTGCCGGTTGCGTGCTGCCTGCGAGGCCTCCGGCAGGGGGAGGCCCGGGCCCGCGGGGAGCCACCGCGCTGGGAGCCGGTGTGGCGGGTCGCTGCCTGCCCGGCGTGGGGGACAGCTCCTGGGGCGACCATGGCGAGGCGGGCGGGGGCGGCGGTAGTTGTGCAACCCGCAGCCCCCCGGTGCTCCCTCCAGCCGGTCTGCGCCCCTCCCTCCACTCTGCCAACACTCGGATCTCTCGCTCTTTCTCTCCCGTGTTTTCAAACAGGAAGTGCACGGCTGTCTGCAACGTGCCGCCGGGTCCCAGGATGGAGGAGTGAGGTCTCCGTCGCCGCCGGTTCCAGCCTGCGGAGCCCCCCCCTGAAGCCAAGTCCCCGGAGAGCGCCCTGAGGGAGCAGGGTGGCTGCCTGGTCCAGGTGCGTGTGGTCAGGTCGCGAGCCCGCGGGCCGGGCGCTGGGCTGTCACTGGCCGCCGCCCCTGGGTGCTGCCGAGCCAGCTCTCCAGCTCTGCGCCGCCTCCTCACTTGTGTGCGTGTGCCCGGTCGCGCCCCCCTCCCCGCCTTCGCCCCCAGGGGTCTCTGTTGGCCGTGGCCGTGCCGCCCCCGGGTGTGTGGGACCCACGCGGGAGGGCGGGACCTGCCCGAGCTCACTCTCAGCCTTGGCGGGCGCTTTCCAGCCTGGGCTGCCTGTGCCCGGGAGGCTTCCCGGAGTCCCCAGCTGCTCTCTCCGCCCTCTCCGCCTCCTCCTGCAGCTGCCCAAAGCGGGGCGCTTTGTTGCTCCTTTGCTGACGGGGGTTTTCTGCTGGAAGGCCCTGGGAGGCTTGGGTGTTAGAAGAGTGGTGTGGCAGAGGTGGGGACCTGGGGCGGGGTAGGGGGAGAGGGTGAGTGGCGGGCGAAGTGTAAGGTGGAAAGGAGAACGAGAGTCTTGGTGCCCAGGCTCCGAAATCCCACCTCTTCAGCAGAGCCCCACTTTGTTGTTATTTTTTGTTTTGTTTTGTTGGGGGGGGGTTGGTTTGGGGGGAGCGGTGAGGGGGGAGCCAGGCTTTCAGGAACTGAGGAATTAGTGATGCAGACACGCTGGAAAGGTAGCGACCAGGAATGAGGGACAGCTAGTTCTGAGGTGTTTAGTCTGGTGTCTGGCTTGTTAACTGCAGTTGTGGTTTCTTAGCCAGGCTTCCTCGCTCAGACAGAAGGTCCTATTAAAGGTATGAGCCAGATATCTTTATTCATTATATTCCATTTTCCAACAGAGTAAAACTGAGAATGACTTTCCTCAAATTCACCGAGTAGATGATAGTTTCACATCCATCCATATCTTGCTCGTTCTCAGATGTTCATAGGTGGAGAGCAAACCGCTGGAGAAGAGGTTGGTGTTAGGCACAGACTTTGCTTCTTCTTTTCCCTGGCAGCTCCTGTCTCTGCAGACTAAGTCAGATTGACTTTTCCCCTAATGAAAGCCTGGCCTTGTTTCTCTGCCTATATTTATCCACCTGGTGAAACTCCAGTCTGGTGGAGGGTCACTAAGGGAGGTTGGATGGTTGAGAAGAATCAGTTTGATGGGCGGATTGGCCTCAGATGCAATGTTTGAACAATGTGAAAGCCAGTAGTATCCTCTTACTCTTCTGTTTTGGAGGAAGGGATGTGAACAAATGACTCAAGGGGAGGAAAGTGAGATTCTGCAAGGAAGGGTCTTTTTCTGCAGCACCGGGGGAATATGCATAATCCCACTACCACATGCATTCAGCTCCTTCACCTTATTGGGCAGCCAGGCCTCCTCAGGAAGCAGGGTTAGTTGTAGATTTAAATTCATGATGTCACATGCTGGCTATGCTGTTCTAATATGTACTTTTTCTAATAAAATATGTTTCCTGTGTAATTCATTTTGCTTAGAAAGGAAAATCTTTTGTAGTCAGGTAGCCTAGTAAGTTTGTACTGTCCTCTCCCTCCCTTCCCCCGCCCCCAGCAGTGATTTGAATTCTGTGATCCCATTATTCCAGTAGTCCTTCAGAACTTTAATCACTTTTAAAATGCAGAGCTGCTCTAAGCATTGCGATAATATCAATAATTGGCATGATTGTGTTAGCAGTAAATAGTCAAGATACATTATAAGAGCTGAGCAATTAATTTTATCTTTTCTCTAGATAGATGGCCGTGGGCTTCTTAAATGTGAATTTCATTGTGATATGTCTGTGTTTATGCCTCTTCTCTTGCCAAATACATGGCAAGACTAAAAGTGAAAACAAGTTAGTGAGACAGACTCTTGAATGGCCTGTACAACCATAGTACTTTTATACCTGAGTATGCTCCTGGCCCTCCGGTTCATTAATTTATTTGAGGACTTTGTTGAACATTGGTCGCTGTACTTAAAGATAAAATAGAACAGCCTTTGTGACTTTCTGAACTTGTACCCTATTTAGAAACAGGATTTACTCCTACCCTAGCAGAATTTACTAATAATTAAATAATAACCTAGGAAAACTGATCTTAAGATCCTCATTTTCTGTTTACAGAGCACATTTTCTAGATCTCATTTATAATTTGTTATTCGCTTTAATAGTCTGGTGAAATAGGACTCATGTACTCCATTTTATGGAGAGAGGAAACTGAGGCTGATAAAATGTGACTTGTCCATGGTCATATTAGTAAATGGAGATGCTGGGACTTCAACAAGTCTTTCGATTTGTAGTCCTGGCCCTTCTGTAATCTGGAAAGTTGCTGCCTAAGGAAGAGATGGCAATGCTGATTCAGGGTCTTTCACCATTCCAAGGGAGCTGGTAAAACCGACTTGAGACTAGCCTTACCTACATCTTCAGATCTTTTCCCACTCTCTCCCCCCAGAGCTCAGGGGTTTCTTTGTAGTGTTTTTTTCCCCTCCCCCCTCATTTGAAATTTACACTTCCTCTGTTTTAGTAACTAGATTTAGCTGTGTTTGCATCAATATGATTTGTTTTCTGCTGCCAAAAGTCTAATGGCATATTTTAATTTATAGAAATCGTATTGTCAGGTCTTAGTAGCCAGTATATTTTTGAAGGATCAGATTAGCATATTATATCTTTTTAGAATAAAAAAGCAGTACTTCTGGTTTACCCTTAGAACACTTTATGTCCCAGAAAGGAAATAATAAATTAAAAAATGATGTGTGTGACTCTCTATAGCCCACTGCCATACTTACCATACCACCACCATACATAGCCCTTCCAACTTCCCCACTCCCCTAGCTGAGGATACCCACTAACAAGGTCATATTACAGGGGCATCTGGCTGGCTCAGTGGGTAGAGCATAATCTCGGGGTTGTGAGTTCGAGCCCCATGTTGGACATAGAGATTACTTGAAAGAAAGAAGGAAAGAAAGGAGAGGTCATGTTATGGAAAGATACTGGCAAACCCGTATAAACTTTAAATTATATATTAAGTATTTTTGTAGTACTCCTCAGATGGAAATAAGTTTATTTTTCTTATCTTTGCAATGCTTAAAGTTAAGGCTCTCTTTAGCTAATATTTTATGTTGCATTGAGAAGAATATAAATTAAAATGGGGAGTACATTTCCACTGGGAAATGCTGGATAAAAGATTTATTTTCTCTTCAACAGTTGGAATATCTACAGTGATCTATAACTTCACCTCCTTAGAATTATGTCGAAGTATTAGGAGAAGGGGAGAAATTGGGGGAGGAAAGAGATAAAGTGAGTGATTTTTGTTTTATTTTTAAATTTTATTTATTTATTTTTTTAAAAGATTTTATTTATTTATTTGAGAGAGAGAGAGAATGAGAGAGAGCACATGAGAGGGAGGAGAGTCAGAGGGAGAAGCAGACTCCCTGCCGAGCAGGGAGCCCGATGCGGGACTCGATCCCGGGACTCCAGGATCATGACCTGAGCCGAAGGCAGTCGCTTAACCAACTGAGCCACCCAGGTGCCCTGATTTTTGTTTTATAAGTGAGGAATGAAATATGTATATTTTCTTAATACACAGGGCTCTGCCATTTCTGTGTGGGACAGTTGTAATGGCTTATGAATAGGAATGAAAGCATAACAAGCTTTGATGTTAAATGCCAAGGAAAAGTTTATGACCAAGAGAGGACTAGGGGTGGAGATAAATGTGTTAGGATTTTCATCTTCTCAAAACCCTCTCATTTTCTCATGTCTATTATAAAATAAAAACTGTCTTCTTTGGAATTTGTAACCTTTAAAGCAGTGGTTCTCAACCCGTACAAAAATCAGGAAGCTTTTATTAATACTTAAAGGTTTCAAAGATTTTGACTTGCTTAGAGTTTTACTTGTTTCTGGTTGCTAATATGTAGTGATGACAGGTACTAGTAATATCACTCAACTGAGTATATATTGTAAATAATGACCACAGCATCTTCCTGTTTTTATAAAGTAGTATTACATCTATATGTGAGACCGGTTCAGTGTACTGACCTCTGCCAGCACCTTGAAGTCCACAGGGTGGGAAATCAGGGCCAAAGTAAAACAACTGCTCCAGGCTGGAAATGCTGATGTGGTCATTTAAATGTACAGTACGTTAGCCGCCAGATTATCAAGATTCCCAGGTGGAGATTTTCCTCTTTGGTGTCCATTAAATAGATGATGTGTAAAGTCCTGACTTTGGATCTGATTTTGTTTTGAGGTTGGTTTTCATGGTCCGCTTTGAGGTCTTAGGATTACTCAGTCACAGATAACTGGAATTCTCCCAAGAGCATTTTCCCTACATCACTTCTGTGAATACCCCTTCCTTACATGTGTTGAGTCAGGACTCTGACACCAGTTGCATAATCACCACTGTCTTGAGTACCACCAGCGGCAGCCTTACATTCATTTCCCAGAAGCTAAAAGAAGCTTCCTCCCAACCTTAACCTTTACAGTTTTTGATAAGAATGTGGAAAGAGATATTATTTATCCCTATTCTTTAGTGGAAAAAACAGACATATGAGTTCCCATTGAATCAGTCTCTTTGGTTTCCATGCCTCTTGCCGTGACTTTGGTATTCTGTTTAAGACAGGTTAGGCTGAGCACCCAAACCTTTTAGGGTTAGTGCATGATACTCTTTTTTTCTGGTTTTAAAAGAAAAAAAGTCACTTCCAATTTATTGAACACTTCATGTGTGTCAGACACTTCATGGATTATCTCTAATCCTCCTGGTGTTGTGCAGGATAGGTAATATCCCTGTGTTATAGATGAAGAAACTGAGGCAGGCAGAGATGGTAACTTATCCAATTCACAGAAACAAGCTAAAGCCTGGATTGGGATTCAGATTTCTGATTCCCCAGGCTAAAACAGTCCCTTCTTTACATGTGCTGCTTTGTCTGTCCTTAACCTCACCAGTGAAAAGAAATGATCACACTTTGTTTAGCCTTACCTTTCGTTTTATCGTTTCAGCAAGGGTTAAGTTACAACTATAGAGAGTATGTGTTTGGAAATAGGGACATGGAAGAGTCAAAACTTTTAGAAATTTTATTAAAAAGAATTTTATAAATATTTTTGGCTTTCATGCAGTATGTATTCATTTTTCCCCCTAAGGAGCCTAGATATATTGAATCTGTTGGTGATAGTTTCTTGAGGCAATATTGTCCACAAGCAGCATTGCCTGGATCTTAGGATGTAAGCGTACCGATTTTACTAGGAAATCTGCAACTTGTTGTTAGGTTTATGTCCCCACCAATACTGCACGATGATTTCTTTTTTTCTTAACAAATTTCCTGATTTTTGCCAATCTGATGGATGTTATTTGTACTTCATAGTTTAATTTTGCCTTTTTACGATTATAAGTGAGGTTGAGCATCTCTTCATTTACTTAATTTAATTTCCCTTTTTTTGTGAATCGGGTCTCTTGCCCTTTTCTGGCAAGAAGTTCCTTGAAAGCATTCTTGTGGAATTCCTGTATATTCTAGAAACAAATTCCTTCTTAGCTTTAGGTATTGTGAACACTTTCTCCCAGGACGTCACTTGCCTGATAACTGTCGATGGTGACTCTCATTAACAACAACAAAAATCTTTAGTTTTAATGTAGATGAACCCTCCAGTTTTTAATATTATTGTGGTCTGTGCATGGAGTCATTTCAGGAATGTTTCCCTATTCTGGGCTTACAGTTTAGTCTCTCCTCCCTTTATTAACTTTACAGGTTTACTCTTGAGTTTTTAAACTATTTGGAATTGAAGATATGAGGTAGAAACCCATTTCTACTTTTAAAAAACTGGTCATATTGTGAGCCAGTTTCACCAGCACTATTTATGAAATAATCCACTCTTTCTCTACCTCTGGCTTATAAGTGTACATTTATACAGATCTCTTTCTGAGAACCCTCATTTGTTTAGGTGGCTTATTTGTGTGCTTCTGGGTCATTGATACACTTTTTAAATTACTATG